CTTAAGCAGGGCTCCAGTACTTCTCTGCCTTTTAGCCACTATCTCGGGGAATTTTATCCTGGTCATCGGCTCGTCTTCTTATCACTCCCCTCCTGAAATACTTCTGCATGCCTATACCAAAAAAGAAGAGCCACATTGGGGCACAGAGATCACTGACATACTACCTCCTCATTGTCTAGGAACAGTACAGCATGGCTGGACATGGGGCCAGCGCACAGCCCGCCCCTACTGCAGCTTTGTCTTCTTTCACAGTATCTCAATTGCTGGATCGAGAATCCACAAAGGACTGTGAGTACCCTTATCTTACTAAATCAGACCTCGATACTAGTCTGGAAGCTTTATTCACTAAGCTGATCTCTATGTTCCAGAGTGAGCTGCAGAAATCCACAGCCACACTTTCTCAGGAGATTGCAAGTTTGGCCTCCAGTACTGATCTGTTGAAGACTAAACATGGTGAACTGTCCATTGCCTTTAATGATCTTTCCAGAGAGCATGAAGTCTTTTTAGTTGCTTTTCTACAACTTCACCTCTGTATTTGAGGAACCCCAGAGTTGGTTACTGATCTTACAGCTTATACCATAAAGCTTTTTAATTCTCTCTTGCCAGACTCTGATGTTACTTCATTCATGTGTGATTGCAGTCACCATGCTCTGAGAGTCAAACCACCCAGGGACATTGTGTTATGTATGAAGGACTCTCTCATTAAGGAAGAAATACTTACAGCTGCCAGAAACACTACAAACATTGTTAGATGGGGTTCCCATGCAAATATATCCTTGGGACTCTCTTGATACCCTGCAACGCCATCATTCCCTCATATAATCTTAGGAGGAGACTTTAATTTTTCAGCCCCTTTTGGACAGGAATAAAATAACACCTTATTTCAAGGCTTTCCCCAAATCTATTTTTATGTCGCATGATATTACCGTAAAATGTCAGTAAAAAAATATAAGTTAATTTTAGGGCACAAAAAAAAGCAATAGATTTCCCATTTTTTTGTAAAATATAAAAGATGAGGTTGCACCGAGTAAATAGATATCCATGTCAAACCTTAAACTTGCGTGCGAACGTGAAATGGCGATGAACTTCAGTACTCTATATTTTCTGTAGGTGACACTTTTAAAGCATCTTATAGGTCATCAGTATAGTGTTATGGAGGAGGTCTGGTGCTAGAATTATTGTCCTCATCCTAGCATGCGCGATGATATGTAACGTGTATCGCAATCGATGTTTTCATGCGTAGGTGCCCCAGTGCGTGCTTGTACGTTTGTACTTGCATATATGCGGGGGTGGGGGAGCCTCATTTTTTGGTGGGGGGAGGGATGTTATGTGCTTGGGTGTAACTTTCATTTTTTACAATTAATAAGAAAAAAAAAATTTTTTTAACTTAATTTTGTTTCATCACATTGTGGACAACTTTCGGGTCAGGACAAGAAAGGTAGGGGAGCGGACATGTCCGCTGTCCTCCATCGACTCTACCTGATGGCGGTGAGCCGGTCCCGGGCCCGCAAATAGCAAGCGGAGCCCGGTAGACAGTGGGCAGGAGGAGGTTCACATGGGGGGGGGGAGGCGGAGAGGCTGGCACTGTGTGGCCTGAAAGCTTCCACCTGACAGGTGACCCTGCTGCTTGCCTGCAGCAGGGCTGAAGGTTTAAGAAGACTACCTGCCCGGCCCCCGGAACTACATGTCTCACGCGTCGGGCGATATAAATTCAGCATCCCTGATCCATATTACTCCAACCCACGTAATACCTTTGGATGTTTGGATTACATTTTCTGCACACCTATAGACACCTCAATTCATACATGTCCACAGAAACCTCAATTCATATATGTCACTGGTCAGAACACTAAATAGTTTCCTTTTCAACAAGCATGATTGGCCTCACAATCACCTCATTCTCCTGGAGGCTTGAAGCCCTTTTAATGGACCCTGATTGCCAACAAGAAATTGTTAAAATAGATGAATATTTCAGAATTAACTCCAGTCCAGCTATTTCAGCCTCTTCCTTGTGGTTAGCCCATAAGGCTGTCTTTCGGGGTCACCTTATAAAGTGAGATGGCACCTACCCTGACTCAGGAATAAAATAAACAGTATTAGTCTCATCCTAATACCCAAGACCCTGCAGTTCTCTCCCTTATAACACAAAAATGCGTGGAGTTGGTCTACCTTTTCACATACAAGGCAGAGAAAGCTCTTAGATGATCCAAAGCCAAATTTTTATTTTCTGGTAATGCTATACAACAATGTCTGCCAGAACGCTGAATCAAACCCTCAAACCTACTCGTGTTTATAAATTACAAGCTCCCTTGGGCAATAATGCACATCACTACCATGAGATATTAAAACATTTTCAGAAGTTCTATGCAGATTTACTTGCAAGTCCTACTACTTCTATGCCTCCTTTCACATATGCTTAGCTGGCAAACATCCCCCTGCTCACATTAGTTACCACTCAAATAGAAAAGCTAAATGTTCCGTGCACAGATGAACTCCGTCAGAAAACCACTTCCTCGCCACTGGGAAACAGGACCAAGGTATTATAGCTGGGCATTGTACCCCAGACTAGACAAGACTAGCTTCGATGACAAACTGGAACTACTTTATTGAACAGAAATACAGTTTTTATACACTCCAGAAATAGGGGGCAGTCCCCAAAATAAAAAAAAAATTACACATTAAGATAAACATCACACACTGATTAGATAATGAGATGAAGCTGACATCAGTCTAATTCTATCATGTAGGCACCTCCAGAAGGACTTGCCAACAGACAAACAGAAGGTGACTATATTAACGCAATTAATAATGGGAATGCACACCTAGGAGGCACACAATGGGAGAAGATAGTAAACACATAGTTACATAGTCTGGCTGAAAAAAGACAAAAGTCCGTCAAGTTCAACTATTAAAAAAAAAGTTATAGTCCTTCACCCACAGTTGATCCAGAGGAAGGCAAAAAAAAAAAAACAGAAAAGCATGATCCAATTTGCTCCTGCTGGGGAAACAATTCCTTCTTGATCCCCCGAGAAGCAATCGGATAGTCCCTGGATCAACTTTACCTATAAATGTTAGTATCCAGTTATATTCTGTGTATCCAAGAAAGAATCCAGGCCTTTTTTAAAGCAATCCACTGAGCTGGCCAGAACCAACACTTCAGGGAGTCTATTCCACATTTTCACAGCTCTTACTGTGAAGAAATCTTTCCGTGTTTGTAGATTACATTTATTTTCCTCCAGATGTAAAGAGTGCCCCCCCCCCCCTCCACTGTGATGGCCTCAGGGTGAATAACTCTACCCGAACTCAATATATGACCCACTGATGTAGTTATACAGGTTGATCACATCCCCCCTTAATCCCCTCTTCTTAAGAGAGAATACATTAAATTCCTCTAATCTTTCCTCATAGCTGAGCTCCTCCATGCCTCTTATCAGTTTGGTTGCCCTTATCTGTACTTTCTCCAGTTCCCCCATGTTCTTTTTGTGAATTGGTGCCCAAAATTGAACTGCATATTCCAGATGAGGTATTACTAATGATTTGTTCAGGGGTAAAATGATATCTCGCTCTGGAGTGTATACCTCTTTTAATAAAAAGGATTTTGTTCGCTTTGGAAACCGTAACTTGGCATTGTATGCCATTATTAAGCTTGTGATCTACCAGAACTCCCAGATCCTTCTCCACCATTGATTCCCCCAGTTGTACTCCCCCTAGTATGCATGATGCATGCATATTCGTAGCCCCCAAGTGCATAACCTTACATTTATCAACATTAAACATTATTTGCCACATAGTTGCCCAATTAAACAGTGCATTGAGGTCGGCTTGTAAGTTGGAGACATCCTGTAGGGACGCTATTCCACTGCACAGCTTGGTGTCATCTGCAAAGACTGAAATGGTATTTTTAACCCCAGACCCTATATCATTTATAAATATATTAAAAAGTAAGGGTCCCAACACTGAACCTTGGGGTACACCACTGACAACCCTAGACCATTCAGAGTGTGAAACATTAACCACTACTCTCTGAATACAATCTTTTAGCCAGTTTTCTATCCATTTACAGATTTTTCCAAGCCTGTAGACTTTACCTTACACATTTGCCGTGTATGGGGAACTGTGTCAAACGCTTTTGCAAAATCCAAGTATACCACCTCCACCACCACCCCTCTGTCCAAGGTTTTGCTCACCTCATAAAAAGAAATCAGATTTGTTTGACAATTTCTGTCTTTCATGAACCCATGCTGTCTGTTGCTTAAAATATTTTTTGCAGTTAGAATTCATCTATGTGGTCTTTTATGAAACTCTCTAGTATCTTCCCAACTATAGAAGTTAAACTAACAGGTCTATAATTACTTGGTAAAGATTTTGACCCCTTTTTTAATATAGGCACCACATTGGCCTTACGCCAATCCAGTGGTACTATGCCAGTCATTAAAGAGTCGCAAAAAATTAGAAACAATGGCTTTGCAATGACAGAGCTCAATTCTTACTTAACCGCCTCCCGGCACCATATAAGGTACAGGCTGACAGCTCCTGAGGAGTGGAGAGCCGGTAATCGGCATCCCTCAGAGGGGACATGCACACTGATCATCAGGGCACTGATGATCAGTGTGCCCTGCTGATCAGTGTAGCCCCAGCAGTGCCACCTGTCAGTGCCCATCAATGCCACCTGCCAGTGCCCATCAGTGCCACATCAATGCCACATATCAGTGCGTACCAGTGCACATCAATGCCACATATCAGTGCCCATCTGAACTTCCTTTCAGTGCCACCCATCAGTGCTACCAATCAGTGCTACCTATCAGTGCCAGTCAGTGCCACCTATCAGTGTGCATGAGTGCTGCCTATCAGTGCCCGTCAGTGCCGCCTAACAGTGCCAGTCAGTGCCACCTAACAGTGCCAGTCAGTGCCACCTATCAGTGTTCATGAGTGCCGCCTATCAGTGCCCATCAGTGATGCATGTCAATGCCCATCAGTGCCACCTACCAGTGTCTCCTCATCAGTGCCACCTATCAGTGCCCATCACTGCAGCCTCATTAGCACACATCAGTAAAGGAGAAAAATCACGTATTTACAAAATTTTATAACAAAAACTAAGAAAAAACTTTTTTTTTCAAAATTTTCAGTTTTTGCTTTGTTTAGCAAAAAATAAAAAACCCAGAGGTAATTAAATACCACCAAAAGAAAGCTCTATCTGTCTCAAAGAAATGATAAAAATGTCATATGGGTACAGTGTTGTCATTCAAAGTGGCCTGGGCAGGAAGGGGGTATAAGTGCTCTGTAGGCAAGTGCTTAAGGACCCGTGGGTGTATGCCATCCAGGTGCTTTATGCACCTTTATTCTGTCTAAATATTTCTGGATCATATCAATTGTGAGCCAATGTGGATCATCTGGAGCTGTGCCAGTATATTGCCCATTATGGACAAGAGCTCCCCCATGCTCCTTTTGTACACACAGAGCTGAAGAAGTTATTTAATACTTTTGCCTTCTCTTCTCTTTGTCCCCAGTCACCCACTCTAGATTATTTTGTAAAGGGCTTACATGCTCGGACCGGAACTTTTTACTATTAATGTATTTGAAACCTTTTTGGGGGTTGGTTCTGTTATCTTTTGCAATCTGTTGTTCGTTTTATTTCCTTTTTGCATATTCTGTTATATTCTTTGTCATGTTTAAACGATGATAGCGTTCCTTCATTTTTATATTGAATAAAAGCTCTTTTCTTATTATCTATAGCTTTTTTAACTTTGGCCATACGCCACATAGGTTTGATTTTTAGCCTTTTAAACATGTTGCCCATGGGAATATATTTTGCAGTGTGTTAGCATAGTCTTTTTGAAGAACTCCCATTTCTGTGTTGTGTTCATTGATGCCAACATTCCCTCCCAGTCTGTCTTGGAGAGCAGCTTTCAGCATTTGAGTATTTTTATTTTTCCCGTATGTGCTTGCTGTTTACAGCTAACAATAAATGAAACCATGTTATGGTCAATGCTACCCAGATGTTCTTTTATATGGACATTCGTAATAAGCTCTGCATGGTTTGAGATTACCAGGTCCAGCAGATCATTATTCCTAGTTGGGGCTTCTATGAACTGTACCATAAAATTGTCCTGTAGTAAATTAAAACATTTTTGCCCTTTAACTGTTCCTGCAGTACCATTACTCCAGTCAATTTTCGGGTAGTTAAAATCCCCCATTATCACTGTCCCAACCCTTGCAGCCCTTTCCATACTGTATGTGCAAAGAGCTGAGTCTCCACCTCTTCATTAACACTGGGAGGACTATAACAAACTCCAATAATTACCTTTGTAGCATGCACCCCCATGTGCAGTTCCACCCGTAATTCTTCAGCCTCCTCACACTCTCCATCAACAAGGTCCTCTTTCACACTCACTCTGAGATCACTTCTCACATAGAGACAGATATCACCACCTTTCCTATTTACCCTGTCTCTCCGAAAGAGAACATAGCCAGGAATAATAATGGCCCAGTCATGTGAAGAATGAAGCCAAGATTCAATAATACCAATGAAATCATAGCTCTGTTCATGCACCAAAGCTTCCAACTCGCCTATTTTGCTTGGCAGACTTCTGGCATTGGTGAACAAACACTATAATGCATTGACACCTTGTGTACACATATTTTTCACATTTTTTATTTACATACAAATGGAACCAATTCCACTGGTTGTTTGTAACATGGGAACCTTCTTATCTGCCATAGCCCTCCCCCCATCTTTCCCCATCCTACCCACCAATAAGGACTGACCCCTGTCTGATCTGTCTACCCCGTCATAATCTAATTCTCCCTCCCCCCTCAATCGTAGTTTAAATACTCCTCCAGCCTTCCCATAAACCTCTCCCCCAGCACAGCAGACCCCTTTCCATTTAGGTGCAGACCATCTCTAGCATATAGGTTACACTTCAATAAAACGTCAGGCCAGTGCTCTAGAAACCCACATCCTTCCCTCTTACACCAGGTCTTTGGCCATGCATTGAGTTCTCTAATCTCTCCCTTTCTTTCCTGAGTTGTGCTTGGCACAGGTAATATTTCAGAGAATATCACCTTGGAGGTCCTTACCTTCAACTTGCTGCCTAGTTCTTTTAAATTGATTCTTAATGAGCCTCCATCTTCCATGTATTCTGTCATTGGTTCCAATATGGACCAAGACAGCTGGGTCATGCCCAGCCTCTCCCAGTAATTTATCAACCCTTGCCACCACATGCCGAACCCTGCCTCTAGGGAGATCGCAAACCATTCAGTTGAGGCGATCCTGGCGACAAATTATTCTATCAGTCCTTCTGATTATAGAATCCCCTACTACCACCAGCTATCTAGGCCTTCCTGCACAACACCTTAATAAACAGATTAGAGCAATAGTCCTCAGCATGAGGTTTTTTTGAGCCGATTATATCAACATTGTCTTGGAGTATCTGAGTCTAGGAAGGAGGGGGTTGAAGCAGTCAATGTGAGTTTGGGCACAGAGACCCCCAAATCTGTATCCTGGTCCTCAGAGTCTGTGTGTTTTTGGGAGACATGGACTTGAACCCCGAGTAAACTGCTCCAAATGTCCCCCCAGGCACACACCAAAGAATTTTGGATGTGTTTTTTTTGTGTTCCAGTGCATTTTGGATGCATTTTTGGTGTGTTCCAGTGCATTTTGGATGCGTTTTTTTTTTTTGACCCTCTTTTCCTTAAATTTACAGTCAGGTCCATAAATATTGGGACATCGACACAAATCTAACATTTTTGGCTCTATACACCACCACTATGGATTTGAAATGAAACAAACAAGATGTGCTTTAACTGCAGACTGTCAGCTTTAATTTCAGGGTATTTACATCCAAATCAGGTGAACAGTGTAGGAATTACAACAGTTTGCATATGTGCTTCCCACTTGTTAAGGAACCAAAAGTAATGGGACAGAATAATAATCATAAATCAAACTTTTACTTTTTAATACTTGGTTGCAAATCCTTTGCAGTCAATTACAGCCTGAAGTTTGGAACGCATAGACATCACCAGACGCTGGGTTTCATCCCTGGTGATGCACTGCCAGGCCTCTACTGCAACTGTCTTCAGTTCCTGCTTGTTCTTGGGGCATTTTCCCTTCAGTTTTGTCTTCAGCAAGTGAAATGCATGCTCGATCGGATTCAGGTCAGGTGATTGACTTGGCCTTTGCATAACATTCCACTTCTTTCCCTTAAAAAACTCTTTGGTTGCTTTTGCAGTATGCTTTCGGTCATTGTCCATCTGCACTGTGAAGCGGCGTCCAATGAGTTCTGAAGCATTTGGCTGAATATGAGCAGATAATATTGCCTGAAACACTTCCGAATTCATCCTGCTGCTTTTGTCAGCAGTCACATCATCAATAAATACAAGAGAAGCAGTTCCATTGGCAGCCATACATGCCCACGCCATGACACTACCACCACCATGCTTCACTGATGAGGTGGTATGCTTAGGATCATGAGCAGTTCCTTTCCTTCTCCATACTCTACTCTTCCCATCACTCTGGTACAAGTTGATCTTGGTCTCATCTGTCCATAAGATGTTGTTCCAGAACTGTGAAGGCTTTTTTAGATGTCGTTTGGCAAACTCTAATCTGGCCTTCCTGTTTTTAAGGCTCACCGATGGTTTACATCTTGTGGTGAACCCTCTGTATTCACTCTGGTGAAGTCTTCTCTTGATTGTCGACTTTGACACACATACACCTACCTCCTGGAGAGTGTTCTTGATCTGGCCAACTGCTGTGAAGGGTGTTTTCTTCACCAGGGAAAGAATTCTTCGGTCATCCACCACAGTTGTTTTCTGTGGTCTTCCGGATCTTTTGGTGTTGCTGAGCTCACCGGTGCGTTCCTTCTTTTTAGGAATGTTCCAAACAGTTGTTTTGGCCACACCTAATGTTTTTGCTATCTCTCTGATGGGTCTGTTTTGTTTTTTCAGCCTAATGATGGCTTGCTTCACTGATAGTGACAGCTCTTTGGATCTCATCTTGAGAGTTGACAGCAACAGGTTCCAAAAGCAAATAGCACACTTGAAATGAACTCTGGACCTTTTATCTGCTCATTGTAATTGGGATAATGAGGGAATAACACACACCTGGCCATGGAACAGCCGAGAAGCCAATTGTCCCATTACTTTTGGTCCCTTAACAAGTGGGAGGCACATATGCAAACAGTTGTAATTTCCTACACCGTTCACCTGATTTGGATGTAAATACCCTCAAATTAAAGCTGACAGTCTGCAGTTAAAGCACATCAAGTTTGTTTCATTTCAAATCCATAGTGGTGGTGTATAGAGCCAAAAATGTTAGAATTGTGTCCATGTCCCAATATTTATGGACCTGACTGTAATTAGGGACATGTGCGTTTTAATGCGTTCCAGGGCGTTTTACCGCGTTCCAGTACAGTTCTATGCATAAACAATGCAGCCTGTTTGACTTTTTTGGCAGCACCTACAACGCACTGGAACTGCAAGCGCTGATGTGAACTATGACATTGACAACCATATAACCTTCTTTCTGTGCATTTTGGATGCAAGAAAAGCAACTGAAACACATGTAGTGTGAACTGGCCCTAAAGGTTATTATAGTTAAGGGAACGGGACTGACCAGGAATTGTGAATTTAATCAGACTAGTGGTAAGATACAATCAGGAAACCTATAATAATGCGAGATCTGAGCTGGAGGTGATAGGAAATGAGACACATTAACTTGATCAGTAAATAAATAGTTAAATAAAAAGTGTGGGGCGGTGATACATTGATTTGCAGATGGAACAGGTGATGACAGGGGGTCAATTTGTATAAGGAGAGAGGTTTAAGGGCTCGTTCACACTTGACTTTATTTCTAACTCTTGCCAAACGGCCCTATAGCGTTTGACAAGTGTTTGGGAAGAGCTTTTAATGCTCCTCAAATGCTC